ATGGCCGGGCGCAGTGGCTCACACCTGTTATCCCAGCACTTTGGGAGGCCGAGGCGGGTGGATCACGAGGTCAGGAGATCGAGACCATCCTGGCTAACACGATGAAACCCCGTCTCTACTAAAAATACAAAAAATTAGCTGGGCGTGGTGGTGGGTGCCTGTAGTCCCAGCTACGCGGGAGGCTGAGGCAGGAGAATGGCATGAATCCAGGAGGCGGACTGTGCAGTGAGCCAAGATTGCGCCACTGCACTCCAGCCTGGGCGACAGAGCGAGTCTCAGACTCATATATATATATATACACACACACACACACACACACACACACACACACACACATATTAGGCTGGGTACAGTGGCTCATGCCTGTAAACCTAGCACTTTGGGAGGCCGAGGAGGGCAGATTGCTTGAGCTCAGGAGTTCAACACCAGCCTGGGCAAATGATGAAATCCCATCTCTGCCAAAAATCCAAAAAAATTAGTTGGGCACGGTGGCACACACCTGTATTCCCAGCTACCTGGGGGTGTGCTGAGGCAGGAGGATCGCTTGAACCCTGGGTGGTTGATGCTGCCAAGAGCCAAGATCACACCACTGCATTCCAACCTATGTGACGAAGTGAGACCCTTTCTCAAAAAAATTAAGATATCATAGCAGCCTTGGTTGGAGGCAGACACTGGGTCTGTTGTAGAATGGAGAGGCTTTTTTGTTTTGTTGTTGTTGTGGTTTACACACAAGCTGTCACACAGTGAATTGTCCTGTGATTCTAGGTCTCCTCCAGGGGTCGAAGGGGACTGAGGACTTCAAGGGAAAGGGTTCTGAGGGCAGACTCTTCTCTCCACCCTGCTGCTACAATGTGATTTCTGCACATTCACACACATGCATGCTAAGCAGTGGTACGGCCATGCTTCTCTCATGACAAAGCTTCACTCAGGAATTGTGCTGAGAACACCTCTGCTTCTAGAGTTTTCCAATAATAGGACACGTAAGTGTCCAGAAGATTCATGGCTTCTTTTTACCTCCCAGATCTTGAATCTGCACCAGTAACCTCTTTCCTGCGGTAGCCTAGGCTTCTGGATCACCTGACCATCTTATCTCCCTGCACGCACACATTTATAAGTCAGAGCTGTCCTGCCTGGGTCAGTATCTGTAGCACTAACCAGACCTTTCATCAACTGTGCACCAACCCTCACCCATGGGTTCTTGATAGCACCTTTTCTATTCTGCATTTTCCCCCCGACAAACCCTCTTTCCTGTGAAGACAGTATGCCCAAGGTCACCCTACAGGTGCCTAAATCCAGGCCATGCTGGAAATCAGATGTTCACGAGTTCAAAGCAGAGTTTTCAGATGTGGTTATTGTAAATATAAGTGCAAAATGGAAATAAGAGACTTAGTCCTCCAACTGGAAAATAAAGGAATAGTATTTACTCTCCTCCCTTTTCTAAAAACCTTTAATTTTTTTTTTTTTTTTTTTTTTTGAGACGGAGTCTCACTTTGTCACCCAGGCTGGAGTGCAATGGCGCAGTCTCAGCTCACTGCAACCTCTGCCTCCTGGGTTCAAGCCATTCTCCTGCCTCAGCTTCCCAAGTAGCTGGGATTACAGGCGCCCGCCACCACACCCAGCTAATTTTTTTGTATTTTTAATAGAGACAGGGTTTCACTGTGTTGGCCAGGCTGGTCTCAAACTCCTGACCCCATGATCTCCCCACCTCAACTTCCTAATGTGCTGCGATTACAGGCATGAGCCACCGCACCCGGCCTTAATTTAGGAAATTTTTATATGCAAATTCTCTCTCTGCCTTTTTTCTTTTTTGTTAAGTATCTAATTTATTTCTATTAGAGGTCTAATTTTTATTTTATTACGCTAACATTGAGATTAGTTATTTTTCAAGTGTTTTGAGGATTAAGGTTTCATTGAGATCTTTTTTCTTAGTATAAAAATATATTGCTATAAAATTCTTAGAACATCTTTTGTTACATTTCAGTTTTGATATGTCCTGTTTCTATTTTCAGTTTTCTCAAGATACTTTGTGATTTTTTTTCTTCTTTGACCCATTGGTTTTTCAGAGGCGTGTTGTTTAATATACACATATTTGTACATTTTTTACTTTTCCTTATATTGATTTCTAGTTTAATAAAATTGTGATTTAAATTTTTGATATGATTTCAGTATTTTTAAAAATGAATAGACTTGTTTGTTTTTGTTGTGGGCCAGATTTATGATGTGTCCTGGAGAATGTTCCATGTCTGTTTGAGAATAATATAAATTATACTGTTGGATGAAATGTTCTATACATGTTTGTTAGGTGTAGTTTTATAGTGCTATGCAAGTACTTGTTTTTTCACTAGCTTTCTGTCTGAATGATGTATTAAGTAGGGCAATATAGTCCCCTATCATATCTGTTTCTTTCTCCACTTTTCTTAATATGTGTTAATATATTTATGTGTTCCAGTGTTTCGTACATATATATATTTAATTATTTTTTGACAAATTAGACTCATCATTATATAATAAAGTTCTTTTATCATGACATATTTTTTCTAGAAGTCTATGTAGTCTGATATAAATATAGCCACTTCTACACTCTTTTAGTTATTATTGGCATGGAATATTTTTTCATCCTTGTACCATTAAGCTATGTATGTCCTTAAATCTAAAGTAAGTCTCTTCTGCACAGCATATTGTTGATTTTTTAAATCTATTCAGACATTCTATGGATGTTTTTGTTTATTTTTGGCTTCAATAACAGAATATCCCAGAGTAGGTAATTTATAAAGAATAGAAGTTTACTTAGCTCAGAATCCTGGATGCCGAGAAGTCCAAGAGCATGTCATTCCCATCTGATGAGAATCACATTTCTACATCACAGCATGACCCAAGGCTTAAGGATGACAGAAGGTGTGCACCAGAGCTCACTTTTATAATAGACCTACTCTCATGATGACTAATCCACTGTGGAAATACTGATACTAATCCTTTCATGAGAGTAGAGCTCTCATGACCTAATAACTTATTATGGACCTAATTTCTTAATTTTCTCACAATGGCAATTAAATCTTAACATGAATTTTGGAGAGGATGCTCACACTATAGCAATGTTTTCATTGAATAACTAAATCTTTATATATTTAAAGGAATTACTGATTGATAAGAACTTATTACTACCATTTTCTTTTCTTTGTTCTTTTTTTTTTTTTTTTTTTTTTTGGAGACAGAGTCTCACTCTTGCCCAGGCTGGAGTGCAGTGGCCTGATCTCAACTCACTGCAACCTCCGCCTCCCAAGTTTACGCAATTCTCCTGCCTCAGCCTCTCGAGTAGCTGGGACTACAGGCACCTGCCACCACACCCGGCTGATTTTTGGTATTTTTACTAGAGACGGATTTTCACCATGTTAGCCACGATAGTCTCAATCTCCTGACCTCGTGATCCGCCTGCCTCAGCCTCCCAAAGTGCTGGGATTACAGGAGTGAGCCACCACGCCCGGCCCTATTACTGCCATTTTCTTATTGTTTTCTGACTATTTAGTTTCTGTTTTTTAATTCTTTCATGCTGTCTTCCCTGGCGTTTTCTTGAATTTTTGTTTGTTTTTGTTGTTTTATGCCTTCTCTTTCTTTTGTATTTACCCACTACAGGTTTGTTTTTTTTTTTTTTTTTTTTGTAATTTCCAAGAAACTTATGTAAAACATCTCATAGTTATAAAATCTAGCTTCAGATAACAAATTAACTTTTCGTTTTGTACAGATAGGGTCTGGCATTGTTACCCAGGTCAGATAGGCCCTTGCTTTGTTACCCAGGCTGTAGTGCAGTGGTGCATTCATAGCTCAGTGCAGACTCAGCTTCCCCAGGTCCAAGCAATCCTCCTATCTCAGCCTCCCAAGTAGCTGGGACTACAAGAACATGCAGCCATGTCTGGCTATTTTTTTACTATTTTTTGTAGAGACAGGGTTTTGCCATGTTGCTTAGGCTGGTCTTGAACTCCTGGGCTCAAGCAGTCCACCTGCCTTGGCCTCCCAAAATGCTAGGATTACAGGCATGAGCCATCAGGCCCAGCTGCTGCTTGTTTAAAAAGAATAAACAGCTTTCTGAGATCTTTAATTTTAGTTATGTACTTATTTAAGAGACAGGGTCCTTCCATATTGACCAGACTGGTTTTGAACTCCTGGCCTCAAGCAAAAGTTAGCTTCTATATACTGAAAAATTAAAGTCTTACTCCCTTCAACACAGTATTTATGTCACACTCTGCATCTTTTTATATTGTATACCCATTAACAATTTATTGAAGCTATATTTAATAATTTTTTTCTTGTAGCTTTTACACCAGCATTAAGTGATTTCTGACCATAATTACAGTTTTATAGCCCTCTAAATTTGACCAGGTGTATATGATTTTCAATAATATTTATATTTTTGTTGTAAGTTAGGATTCCATTACAACTTGAAAAATTCTCATTAGCATTTTTTTGTAAGTCAGGTCTAGTGATGAAAAATTTCCTCAACATTTTTTAAATCTGAGATTTTGATTGATACATCATTTCTAAAGAACAGCTTTGTCAGGGATAGTCTTCTTAATTGTCAAGGTTTTTTCTTTTTCTCTCTTCATTTGCACTTCAAATATATGGTTTCACTTCCATGTGGCTTGCATGGTTTTTGTTGGGCATGTGCTGATAACCTTATAGGAGTTCCCTTGTATGTGAGGAATCTCTTTCTCTTGCTTCTTTTAAGAATCTCTCGTTGTCTTTGAATTTTGGCTTAATTATAATGTGTTATGGACAATTTTTGTTAGATTCTTCTTGCTATAGACATTTTGAGCTTTTTAATTTAATATCCATATTTCTTCCAAGATTGGGAAAAATTTAAGACATTATATCTTTAAACAATTTTTTAAAATTTTTCTCTCTCATGAACCTCCTAAAATATGTACATTCTTACTGTTTATTATGCAGTATGGGGCCCAAATGCTTTATTCACTCTTACATTCTTTTTTAAAATTCTAATTAGAAACTTTCAAATGACTTACTTTTACGTTTGCTTTTTTTTTTTTAACCCCCCTGTGTAATGAAGTCTCCTGTTAAAGCTCTCTCTTTAATATTTTAGATCTCCTATTGTGTACTTCAGCTCCAGCATATCTATTTGGTTCTCTTTTAATAGGTTCTCTTTATTATAATTGTGATTTTGTTCATACATTGTTGTAAAAAAAATTTAGTAATGTGTGGCTTTTTGCATCTCATTGAGATTCTTTAAGATAATTATTTGAATTATTAGCCATTTTTTAGATCTGTGTTTTATTGTAAGTGGTTACTGGAGCATTTTTAATTTCCTTTGGTGATGTTATGTTTGCCTGATCCTTCATGATCTGTGATACCTTGTTTTGATGTCCCTGTATCTGAAGGAGTATATACCTCTTTCAGTCATTATAGATTAGTTTGGGGAGGTAAATATTTTCTCCTATTGGATTTCTGTGCTGATGAGATTGCAGTAAGGTGCATTGGATCTGGATCACAGTGAAGTTCATGCTTGGTAGACCTGTTATTAGGGCATCAGACCGTTGTGGATTCTATTTTCTGGAAAGACTGAACTTTCTTCAGGATCTTGATCAATAAGACTGGTGCTGGGGAAAAAAAGTCTCCAGTTTTATATGCAGATGACAGAGCTGATACAATCCATGTGAGCAGGCATGGCTTCTGCTGTGTGGCTCCTGCTGGGTGTTTGGAAATCCTCTAACCCCGTCATTGGACAGGTTCCTAGATGAGCAGTACTGACCCTTGATCACAGCTGAGAGGGTGTGGAACTGATTCATAGGGCTGTTTCGGCATACACAGCTGAGACCAAAGTCTTCAGGTTTGTTTCCGGGTTCATGGCATTTCTCCCTGTAGGTTCCTGGGTGAACAGGACTCTTCCCAGACTTTAGCTGACAGGGACTGGAGGTAGGTTTTAGGACTGCTTCAAAATTCACAGTGGGAATAAAGTCAGCCAGCATGCCTAGAGGGGCACATATAGTGTGCTTTTTGGCAGGTCCCAGGTTAGGAAAAACTGTTTCTGGACTTTGGTTTTATGGACTTGGAGCCAGATTATAGTGCCACATCAAGATCCACCATTAAATAAATGTTGGCAAGCCTACATCCAGGGGCACAGAAGGATGTTTCTGTCTGTGGGTTCCTGCATGTGCAGGATTTCTTCCACACCATGATAGATGTGTGCAAGGGGCTAATTCAGAGATCACAGAGAGGATCAACATCTAAAGTCCTTTCACCTGAGACACAGGACACTTGGTGTCTTGGCAGATGGTGCTAGTGGCATAAACAAAACCAAATGGTCTACAGCTGTATTTACAGTGAGAATTAGTCATATTTTATTTTGTAGTTGGGACTGTGATGGGCAAGCATGCCACTCAAGCAAGGTCATGCCTTCTCAATACAGCCCTCCTCAGTCTTGGGTTTACACCCTTTGACATGGATTCCAAAGTTCCCATAAAGTTTCTTTTGCCAGGGCATAACTGCTCCTTTTTTTTGAGATGGAATCTCACTCTTGTCACCCAGGCTGGCGTGCAGTGGCACCATCTTAGCTCATTGCAACCTCCGCCTCCCAGGCTCAAGCAATTCCCCTGCCTCAGCCTCTCGAGTAACTGGGATTACAGGTGCCCACCACCATGCCCAGCCAATTTTTGTATTTTTAGTGTTGATGGAGTTTTACCATATTGGCCAAGCTGGTCTCGAAGTCCTGACCTCAGGTGTTCCACCCGCCTCAGCCTCCCAAAGTGCTGTGATCACAGGCGTGAGCCACCGTACCTGGCTTGCCACATTTTTTTAAGTCTATCAAAGTTTCATTTCTAAGAAATACATTTGCATATGACCCAAATATAACAACTCTGGTATTATATCAATACAGCTATAACATTAATGCAGCAATTATATAACACAAAAGTGTTATAATGACCTGGGAAATGTTCATGAATTGTGAGGTGAAAAGATGTAGAAAATGACTGTGCCTACTGATATTACCTTTGAAAAAGAACCCATAAAAAATACATTGAATATAAGTTGGCTAAATAAAATATTAACTGTGGTACTTTCTTACAGATTATGGTTATCTTCTTGCATATAATTTCAATATGTACCAATATTCACATGTATTTATTTTATAATCAGAATGTCATTATAATTAAATGTTATGTTGTGCCATTTCATCAGATCATCTTATAGTCAGTGTCACATTAAATTATAATCTGAGTAACTAATGTTTAAAAATAGCTGATACATTTGAAATTTAGGCTAGAAAATTTTTTTATTTGTAAAATGTGCTCAGTGTTAACTTTATTGATAATAACCAAAAACCAACCTAATATATGATTTTTAAAATTATTTTTAAGCACAAAATAGACCCATATTGGGGATGAATAACATGTCTGATTTTGTTAATTTTGTCTACTACTTTTCCCTGTATTTCCTTGTTTCCTTCATCCTAAAATTTTTAAAAATGAAAACTTTAATCATTATTGAATGTTTAAACTACTGAATTTTTTTTTGTTGTTGTTAACTGAAGTAAAAGGAAACATTCTTGTAGAATTATGGAAACTAACAATGTAGTAGGACTTAAAATTGAATGTTAGGAGGTTCTTCGTTTTAAGAGTCTTCCTGTGGGAGAAGTTTCCATCAAACTGCTGTACTTCTATCATCAACATTTCCCAGCGCCTGCTCTGTACGGAGTTCTAAGAATACCTGCTCCAAGGTGTCCTGAGAGAGGCTGTATTCCTCCACATTGAAGGTCTGTTTCACTGCCTCTACTTTGAAAAAGGCCTGAGACAGAGGGTGGACATCCTCCACAGGTAACTTATACGGCATTAAAGAGGAATGTCTTTCCTGCCGAGCAGCCTGTGGGAAAAGCTTCAAAATCTCTGTGTGGAGAGCTTCCACCTGAGTAGGTTCTTTCATTTTTTAATTTCTAGTAAAAACCTTTACCAAACTTGTTTTTCAGATGTTGAATAGAACCAGTACAACTTAGCGTTCCTGACACCATGATGGCCACACACAGCTTTAGCCTCTGACATGTAATGGGTGGTCAAGACGGCGCCCCTCTCCTTGTTTTTAACGGTAGCCTGAAGTATCTGCCACATTTGCTGCTGCCCCTCGGGGTACATCCTGGTGAACAGCTCATCTAGAAGCACCACTGATGGGTTCCCCAGGATGCTCAGCACAAAGCATAGCTTTCTCTTTTATCTCTCTGATAGAGTTTTCACGGGAGCCTTAAGTTGCTCCTGGAGCTTAAGAGCTTCCACCAATCATGAAATACTAAGAGCAGCATATTCTTTGCCCAGTCCTTTCACAGCTGCATACAACTCCAGGTGCTCTTTCATTGTAAGCTTGGGCCACAGTGAGTTCTCCTGAGGGCAGTACCCCAAGAACTTGAGGCTGTTGTCACGCTGTTGCTTTACTGATGCTCTGTTGCCTTGTAACACCACCGCTTCTGCAGTTGGCTTTGTGAACCCAGCTGTCATTTTAATGGAAGTACTTTTACCAGATCCACTGTGTCCTACTCATCCCAAAACTTCACCTTTTTAACACAAAAGGAAACATTTCTGATGGCTATTTTCTTCTTTCTTGTTGAAAAGCAACTTTTCTTTGCCTCATAATATTCCTTGTGTAAACAGCTTGCAGTTATGACTGGCTCCTCCTCCAAGTTTGGAGTAGTGAGTGCATTTGCTGCTTGGACTCTTTCAGCTTGAACATCTTCTTCTTCAGGCTCTTCTGGATTGGGATGAGTTTCTCTACGTCATGGAGAGACTCTGAAAACTGGGTCTTTATTCATTATTTCAATTCCGTACTTCATGTCCAGACACCTTATGACAAAAAGGAAAATAACACTCTGAAGGTATGGTATTAAGGTTGTTAAAAGAATGGTTTTATTGACTTCATTTATTCTATCGTCCAGACTGTCCAAGTTTCTCATATACATAAAGTTGAGCTGGATCAATAACATGACATATCCCAGCAAAGTGAAGGAAGGTATGAAAATCATGCACAAAATTAAGTTGGGTTTTTCTTTTTTTTTTTTTTGAGACGGAGTCTCGCTCTGTCGCCCAGGCTGGAGTGCAGTGGCCGGATCTCAGCTCACTGCAAGCTCCGCCTCCCGGGTTCACGCCATTCTCCTGCCTCAGCCTCCCGAGTAGCTGGGACTACAGGCGCCCGCCACCTCGCCCAGCTAGTTTTTTGTATTTCTTAATAGAGACGGGGTTTCACCGTGTTAGCCAGGATAGTCTCGATCTCCTGACCTCGTGATCCGCCCGTCTCGGCCTCCCAAAGTGCTGGGATTACAGGCTTGAGCCACCGCGCCCGGCGAGTTTTTCATACTTAGTTGATACCAGAATTGTGAATACACATATTAAGATAATAAAAAAGCCAAAAGACCAAAAGCCATTATTTTTTCACCACTTGCAAAAGATGAATGAAAGCACATACGTGAGGAATATAAGAGAAGCCGCACAACGAATTATGCATACCGCCAAAACAAACATGAGTTCCCATGGAAGCTGGAATCCCAGAAATATGAGGTAGTAAATTAAATGTATTGAAAGGAGAATCAAGGAGTATAATGGAATGTCCACCAGAGCCTGTCCACACCAGTATCCTGAAGGCCAGAGGCTGAAATCCATAACTGGGATTCAACTTTATTTTTTATAATCACTGATACTGCTCATGCTGATATAAGGAGAAATGCAGTTTGTGATCAACAACAAAAATATGGACCCATCTATAAAACAAAGTTCCAGCACTATGTCATCACGAGAAAATGAGGTGCTCTTCGTTTGAATAAGCTCCATGAAGTTAAAAATTTCAATAAGGGCTTTGGTAACAATTCCCATAAGAACAGGAAAACAATTCAATTTCTTGGTATTACATGCAACTGAAAATCTAATCCTTCTGGTCATCAGACACTATGATGCCTCCATTGTAGGAGTGATCATCTGAGCCATTTCTGTTGCTGAAGTCATCCATTTCCAAAACTATATTCTGACACTTCGGTGAATGCACAAAGTCTTCAATATTTGATCCCGGAGCAAAGATTAATAGAAAGCCAAGCAAAATATAGGGGTAGAGGAAGCAGTGGGAAGAACCCTGTGGGCACTCTCAGCCCCCAGTGAAGCCATTTTCTTGCCACATTTTTTTATAACTGTAGAAGATGTGGGTAGAGAACCTCCTATTCTGCCATCTTGCTGTGTCATTCCCCTTGTATATTTTACTTTCTCATATGTTCTGTCAAATATTTTTTATTTTGAATTCAAAATGTCTGAAATAAAATGCTCAAATTTTCCAATTGTAGAATAAATGTATTCAAATACCTCATTCTCATCAGGGCATTTTATTAATTATTGAGTTTTCTTTTACTGCTGTACTTTGAATGCCAAAGATTCAAAATGCCAGCTCTTTGTAAGTACACACAGTTGAAAACTGTAGTTATTTATAAGATTGTCTTTGATACATCTATATTAGATTCAATATTTTGTAGGTCAGAATTTTTTATTCTAGTTTTCAACTCCATTTTAGTGGTTTTTAATCTTCATATTTTATTTTTATTTTTTTTTATTTTGAGACAGAGTTTTGCTCTTGTTGCCCAGGCTGGAGAGCAATGGCACGATTTTGGCTCACCACAACATCTGCCTCATAGGGAGGCAATTCTGCTACTTCAGCCTCCCAAGTAGCTGGGATTACAGGCATGCACCACCACGCCCAGCTAATTTTTTGAATTTTTAGTAGAGCCAGAGTTTCTCCATATTGGCCAGTCTGGTCTCGAAGTCCCAACCTCAGGTAATCCACCTGCCTTGGCCTCCCAAAGTGCTGGGATTACAGGTATCAGCCACTGTGCCTGGCCTAGTCTTCATATTTGGTAATTTTAACCTGTACCTTTTATGACCATGTGGTGTTTAATTCACATAAACATCATGGGGTTTCAATTGGAGCAAATTAAAATACATATATATATAAATCAGACATTTATCTTGGCAAGAAAGTTATCTATGTGGTATTTGCCTATATAAATATTGCCCTAGGTGTTCATACATTTTTTATTTGAGTGCTCATCATTGTTTTCTTGTATAGGTGAGTAGTCAGAGAAACAGTATAAAATTACCATCTATTTATGTTTGATTATGTTGCTCTGTGAGAGAAACACTTCTTATTTGAAGGTGATTTTTAAAGAATGTAACCGTTTTAGATAGATGTACATATTTAGTTGATGAAAAACATGTAACTGCCATCTTAAATATTTTCTAGTGTACAGTCTAGTGGTATTAAGTACGTTTACTTTATTTTGCAATGGATCTCTAATTTTATCTTAGAAAAGTACCTTATAAACAATAAACTGCCCTTTTTTCCTTTTTCTTCAGCTCCTGAAGAATACCATTTTACTTACTGTTTCTATAATTTTGACTGGTTTCCATATTCTTATCAGTGTAATTATATAATGTCTGTTTCTTTTTGACTATTATATGTAACATAATCTTGTTTGTTTTCATTTGTTTTAAAATGAAATAATATTCTATGTATATGTCACATTTTTAAAATTTGATACTGATCTCTAAAGGAACATTTGTATTCTTTCCAGGAATCATCTTTTGTAAATAATAATGAAGAACATGCATGTGTAAATATCTATTTAAAGTCCTGCCTTTTTTTTTTTTTTTTTTTTTTTTTAAGATGGAGTCTTGCTCTGTTACCCAGGCTGGAGTGCAATGGCACGATCTCGGCTCACTGCAACCTCCGCCTCCTGGGTTCATGCCATTCTCCTGCCTTAGCCTCCTGGTACCTGGGACTACAGGCGCCTACCACCACACCCAGCTTTTTTTTGTTTTTTTTTTTTCTCCTTTTGTATTTTTAGTAGAGACGGGGTTTCACAGTGTTAGCCAGGATGGTCTCGATCTCCTGACATCATGATCCGCCCACCTCGGCCTCCCAAAGTGCTAGGATTACAGGCGTGAGCCACTGCGCCCGGCCTAAAGTCCTGCTTTAAATGTTCTTGGAATAGTTTGGATACAGTGATGTAGTACTACATGTATGTCCGTATTTTTATTTCCCGAGCCTTTGATGTTATATCCAAAAAGTGATTGCTAAGACCAGTTGCATGAAGTCTTCACCATCTGTTTTTATTAGATTCCACATATGTATAAGATCATGTGGTATTTGTCTCAGTGTATCTTGTTTCTTTCCGTAACATATGATCCAGCAATTTGAATTTTTTCTTGCATGGTCATAAATGTTTATTGTCTTAGAATCAAAAGAGCCATCTTAAATTACAATGTTGTTTAAATATATGTCACCTTGTGATTTTTTTTTTTTCTATAATGGCTGTACTTAGTCTTACCAACTGAATATGTTAACTTTTCTATACCTTCTCATAATTTTTTTCTTTCTAATTACAATTATTTTAACTGCAGTGAAGTCACATCTTGTTGTGGCTTTGATTTGCATATCTCTGATAGTGATGCTGAGCATCTTTGCATATTCTTTTTGGCCATTTGTATTTCTTCTTTTGAAAAATGTATCTTAGCTGGGTGCAGTGGTTTGGGAGGCCGAGGCGGGTGGATCACCTGAGGTCAGGAGTTTAGCCAACATGATGAAACCCCATCTCTACTAAAAGTACAAAAATTAGCCGGGTGTGGTGGCACACACCCATAATCCCAGCTACTCAGGAGGATGAGGTGGAAGAATTGCATGAGCCCAGGAGGCGGAGGTTGCAGTGAACTGAAGTCGGGCCACTGAACTCCAGCCTGGGTGACAGAGTGACACCCTGTCTCAAAAAGAAAAAGAAAAATGTATCTTAAGGTCTCTTGCCTATTTTCAAATTATGTATTATATATGTTTGTTAAGTTATATATTCTGTAAGTTTATCTTGTCATATCTATATTTTGCAAATATTTTCTTTCATTTTGTAGATTATCTCCAGTCTGTTTTCTTTGCTGTCCAAAATATTCTTTGTTGTAATCCTATTTGCGTATTTTTGTGTGTCTTTTGAGGTCTTAAAAATTCTTCGTTCTGCAATACGTGGTAAAGTATTCCTCTATGTTTACTTCAAATAGCTTTATAGGTTTGGGTTTCCTATTTAAATATTTATTTGTGATTGAGTTTTTTATGTTGTAAAAGGTAGGGGCCTAGGTTCATTTTTTTAATTATCATGTAGATAATCAATTTTTCTAGCACCATTTATTGAAAAGACTGTCTTTTTCCAGCTGGGTGTTCTGGACATCTTTGTTGAAAATCACTTGGCTCTAGGTTCATGAATTTATTACTGGGCTTAACTGGATACTTTGACCTGTTTATCTGTTTTTATGTCAGTATCATCCTGTTTTGCTCATTATAGCTTTATAGTATGTTTTGGAGCCAGGAAGTGTGATGTTCCTAGATTTGTTCTTTTTGCTCAGGATTACTTGTGCCGTTCATGGGTCTTTGGTGGTTCCCTATAAATTTTAAGCTTGTTTTTTCCATTTCTATGAAAAGAGTCATTCGCATTTTGATAGAGATTGCATTGAACCTGTAGATCACCTTCGGTAGTATAGCCACTTTTATATTATTTCAGTTCATGAGCAAAAAATATCAATTTTTCATGTCTTTTTCAGTTTTTTATCAATGTTATATAATTCTCAGAGTAGAGAGTATTTACCTTTTTAATTAAGTTTGCTGCTAGACATCTAGACACCTTTCTTTTTATTGTGTATGCAGAAGGAGTATTTGGCAAAATTCAACATGCCTCTGTGGTTTAAGAAACTCAACAAATTAGTTATAGATGGTATGTACCTCAACACAATAAAAGCCATGTATGACAAATCCATGACTGATAACATCCTAAACAGGAAAGAGCAGAGCACTTTTTATCTGAGCTCTCAGACAAGGATGTATTCATTTTACATTATAATTGTGTATTACAATATTCAGCTGTGGACACTCTTAAGACTGTGGAGCATGGCCGGGCGTGGTGGCTCATTATCCCAGCCTGTAATCCCAGCACTTTGGGAGGCTGAGGCAGGTGGATCATTCCTGGGGCTACCAGAAATGCCAAGATGAGATTGCCTAGAGAAACAGGCAGGTTGGCCAAGCAGCTGGGGGCACCACCCTTCCTGGGGAACTCCT